TGGCCCGCCCCTATGGGGGCTGATTGGGGGTGGGGCCGGCCAGGGCGAGGGGGAATGGTTGTTTCAGTGTTCTGGTCATTCTGCCATTTGGTCGTTGGGCTTTTATTATAAAGGACTAGAGGCCTGGTGCATGAAAATTCAGCCCAGCCTGCACCCTCTCGCAGTCCGGGACCCTTTGGGGGATGTCCACCTGCTGGCTTAGGCCCACTTCCCGGGGCGGGGTGGGGATCGGGCCTAAGCTGGCAGTCAGACATCCGTCTGGCAGCCATGGAGCCCTTGAGGGATGTCCGACTGATGGCTTAAACCTGTTCCTCCTGGGCCGCACTGCTGCTGCACTTGTAGCCATCAGCCTGACATGTGGCTGAACAGAGTTCCCCCTGTGAGAGCACACTGACCACCAGGGGGCAGCTCCTGCATTGAGCGTCTGCCTCTGGTGTCAGTGTGCATCATAGTGACCTGTCATTCCGCCATTAGGGTCAATTTGCATATTACTCTTTTATTATATAGGATTATTATATAGGATGATATTTTCATTTCTAAAATACAAATTAGCAATTTAATTACCTGAGGATTTTAGACTTCAAACTCTATATGATGTCAGTCTTTTCCTGCAAGAAGCCTCACTTACAGAGTAACTTATAAAGAAATTTTTGTTAATAGTATAAACTAGTTAGTTTTATAAAAGCTGTCATTTTTGTCACAAACTGTATAATAAGCCTCCAAATAATCAAATTTTTTCTTAGCCAGTTAGCCACACTGCCATATTCTGCTATGTAAGTCCACTGTTAATTTTTTATTAACATGTAAAAGAGAGACCTTTATAGAAAAAAAATGTAATTTATTACTGAATATTCCAAAATGGCTGAATTTCTGTAGGACTATAAAAAACTTCCACTAACCCATTTGTTCAACATATGTTTGGGCACCTGCTCTGTGCCAGGTGCTGCAGATAAGTAACTAAAGGGTGATGAGGACTTCTTAGCATAGCTTAAAGATGACTTGTCCCTGCCTACCTCTCTAGCCTCATCTCTTACCCCACTGTCTTACTCATTCACTCCCTGTGCTCCAGACCATTTCTGCTGTTTGAATATGCCATGACTGTTCTTGCCTTAGGAAGTATGCACCTCCTGAAGAATGTGATAATAGTGGTAACTTAATCCTCATAACCTCATGAAATATAGGTATTGTTGTTATTTTCATTTTACAGATGAAGAAATCTGAGACAAAGAGAAGGTATCTCCAAAGTCACACAGTTAATAACTGGCCAAGCTGGGGTTTGAACCCAGGCAATTTGGTTTCAGATCTGCTTTTGTTCAGTGCTGTATTTATAGTGCCTAGAATAGTGTTTGGTACAAAGAAGGTGCTCAAAGAAATTTTTTGTAAGTGAATAACCATTACAGGGAGAAATATGTGGATTGGTGGGAGCACATGAGGGCATACCCAACTGAGCACTGAGGAAAGGGCTGGTGGCAGTCAAGTGGTTTTCTGGAGGAGTCCATTCTTTAAATGGAGACATGACAGGTGATTAAGAGTTAGTCAGATGAAAATGAGGAGGCAGAGGAGAGGGCATATATAAAGGCTTGGACTTCCGTATGCTTTTTCCCTAAAACTCTGTTCTCTTTCAAATCTTTTCTAGGAGACCTACTGACAAGCAGTGCTGAACAATGTATGACCTCACAGAGGCTGCTGGCAGACCCTTCCTTGCAGAATCCTTGTTCCTGAATATATAAAAGTTTCTTAGAGGAAAAGACATTTAAAAAGACTTTGTTACCTGTTTGCCATAGAAATTGGTGTCTCCCCTGAAGGAAGATCGAGAGCCAGTGAATGAGAACATTGGTAAAGGCACTGGAATGGGGACATTCACACCCACCTAAAGCAGAACAAATCCACATCAGATATTAAAAAAAGGACTCAAACAAAGGAACTCTCCATTTAGAAGCATAAATGCGTGGCATTAGAGAGATCAAGTTTAAATACCCACCTTCCACCCTATATCCACCTCACTGAACTTTTATTCCTGAGGAAGAAAATGGGGCATTGTGGGAGATCAGAGCGGTAGCAACTGATCACTGTTTACCATCTCCCCAGGAAACAGTAAATGGCTATAAGAATCTCCTAAAAATTATTTTCACAAACCTGTCCAACATCCACCAAGTGGGAATATTTCCTAGCGGTGGCTCCATTGGTGGTGAAGATGGCAGTTCCATTTCCATAGGGGTTATCATTTACAATCTTGATGGCTTCATCCAAAGTATCTGTCTCCAGAACCACAAGAACTGGACCAAAAATCTCCTCTTTGTAACAAGTCATATTTGGCTGCCAGGAGTGATGCATCCAGAAAAGAAGTCAGTATTTTATGCTTATTTGTTAATTTAGAGCCCACTGTTTACATAGACAACTTTCATGTTAGTAATCTTTTTTCATTTTAAAGCACTTATTTTTTTAAAGTGCTTTCTTGCTGTGTTCCGTCTTCCAAGCTACCAATCTTTATCAATAACTTGAAATTCCCATTAATTACAATTACAATCCTTTCCTTTAAGCACTATTTTTAGGTCCCATGACCCATCACTAGCTTCCTCTTTTCTAATTGTATAACCTGTTTATACAATTATTATGTTACTGAAAACTTACATGAAAATTCATTTTTTAAATAAATCAAATATATATTTAAAATACCCCAGGAGATTTCTTTCTATTTAAAGAAACCCCGTGCTAAGTTTTCTATAACATAAATAATCCATTCTCATTCATTCCTTTGTTTCCCAAATGAGTCTGCACATTTATATTTTGATAGCAGGTTACATTAAACATACAAAACATTCTTTACCACTGTAGCTAGTCAGCTGTGTTTGTTATTTATAAGTGGGTATTTTCCTCCATGGTTCTTTGGCAAGAGATTTCATAATTTCTACTACACTTAATTCAACTTAATTATTCAGGATTTTAGTAGGATTTTTGGGGACATAAGTATTTCAAAAAAAGCCTCCTAACCTCAACTTAAGTCATTAATTTTAGCTGAAAAACGTGTAGAGTTTTAATAAATAAACATTTTTATTTGATAATAAAAATTATCTTCCTTTTGTCACTTTCTGGTAAAGATGCAGCTAAATTTAGAGCACAGAGTAAGTACTCAATAAATATGGGGTGGTTGATATGTTGATGGAAACACTGCAATAACTAAGCTAGGAATAAGAAGGAATGGGAAAAAAATTGACATTAAACAAATAAGTAACAAGTATAAGATAGGGATTAGCAAAATATGGTCATTGGGCCAAATATGGCGTGCTGCCTGTTTTTATACAGCCAACAAGCTAAGAATAATTTTTGTTGTTGTTATTGTTAATCCTCACCCAAGGATATTTTTCCATTCATTTTTAGAAAGAGTATGGAAAGGAGGGAGGGAGTGGGGGAGAGGGAGAGAGAAAGAGAAACATTGATGTGAAAGAGACACATTGATTGGTTGCCTCCTGCATGTATCTGACCGGGGCTGGGAATGGACTTGCAACCCAGGTACTTGCAGGACTGGGAATTGAACCCATGACCCTCTGGTGCTCAGGCTGATGCTCTAACCACTCAGAAACGCCGGCAAGGGCTCTATATTTTTTAAATGGTTGAAAAAAATCAATCATGGCATATAAAATTATTTGTAATTAAAGTTTCATTGTCCATAATAAAATTTTAACAGAACACAGCTACATAATGTTAATAGTTGCTTTCATACTAATATGTCAAGAGTTGAGTAGTTGTGACAGACATTGCATATCCCTGCAAAGCCAAAAATATTTACTATCTAGCCCTTTATGAAAAGTTTGCTGAATACTAGTAGAGTAGAAAGAGATCATGAGTGAGAAGGGAGGTTAAATCAGACTCTAGATAAAATAACTGAATAATTCTGGCAAGAAATGAAGTCTCTAGTCATTAAATGTTCTTTATTTATAAACTAGAGGCCCAGTGCATGAAATTTGTGCAAGGGGCGGTTCCTCAGTCTGGCCTGCACCCTCTCCAATCCGGGACCCCTTGGGGGATGTCCGACTGCCTCTCACAATCCAGGACTGCTGGCTCCTAACCGCTCATCTGCCTGATCGCCCCTAACCCCTCTGCCTGCCTGCCTGATTGCCCCTAACTGCTCCCCTGCTGGCCTGATGGCCCCTAACTGCTCTCCTGCTGGCCTCATCGCCCCCTAACCGCCTCTGCCTCACCCCGCACCCAGACCCAGGATTCCCACCTCCGGCCAGTCGCAAGCACCCGGGACCCAGGCTTCCCTCCCTCTGGCTGGCCAGCCCCGCACCCAGACCCAGGATTCCCACCTCCGGTCAGTCGCAAGCACCCGGGACCCAGGCCAGCTTTGCCTGGGTCGGCTGCAGCCGTAGGGGACCGTGGGTGGGTGGCTTCATCTGGGAAGCAGCTGCAGGCGCCAGGTGCTGCAGGGCAGGTGGCTTGTCCCTTTCCTGGGCTGCAGCCACAGGAGCTGGCATCCGGGACCCCGGGATGGACGGCTTGTCCCTCTCCCGGGCTGCAGCCTGGCTGGTACCCATACCTCTCTCATGAGCTCATTTGTGCCTGGCTGGTCCCCGTTCCTCTTGTGAGCTCATTTGTACCTGGCTGGTCCCCATTCCTCTCTTCCCAGTGTTGAGTGTCTGAGCAGTTCCGGCACAAGGGCACGAGGGTGTGAGGGAGCGATGACCATTTGCATATTAGCTCTTTATTATATAGGATTGGAGGGAAGAGATAACATAGCCTCTAAAGTGCCTTCCGCTCCCATATCTGGGAAACAAATAATCCAGAGTTGTTTACCTTGACATTTGAGATGATGGTTGGTCCAACAAAGTTGCCATTTTCATAGCCTTTGACTTTAATATTTCGACCATCAAGAAGGATGGAGGCTCCCTCCTTTGTTCCACTATCAATCAGATTACAGACTCGCTCTTTGGCCTGGGGTGTGATCAGAGGGCCAAGATCAGCTCCAGGCTGGTCTCCTATAAACAACACAGAAGTGTTTAAGGTCTTCAATAACATAACTTATGACTGCTAACTGAAGATTAATCTAAACAGGTACAGTATAAAGAGAGGCAATGGTAAAAAATGATATGATTGCTCCCATTGGCCAAAGCCAATGTTAAAACCAAGAGCTTGGTTTTAACAAATGCAAAGTCTAAAGGAGCTAGGCAGATAACATATTACCTGCGTTGACTCTCAGGTTTTTGGCACGCTCCACCAGCTCTGGCAGCCACTTCTTAGCTTCTCCCACAAGGATCGCTGTTGAAAGAGCCATGCAGCGCTGACCAGCAGCTCCAAATGCTGCCCCAACCAACTGGTTCAGTGTATTTTCCTTATTGGCATCTGGCATGACTACCCCATGGTTCTTGGCTCCCTAAGGAAATATAGAAAGCACATGAATCTTCCTTGAGAAAATAAAATTATGCTAAAAATTAGGCAAATAATATGAGATTTCAAATGAACATTTAAGGTAAGACTAGAGAATTTATCCTTTGCTGCTTTGAGGATAGACTGATTATTTTGATACTGCTAAAGTCTTGGTAACATTGAGCAAGTCTCCAGATTACTTTCCCCCTTCTCAGTTGATAAGCTGATATATGTTTATTTAGATTAAAAAAAAAAAAAAGAACCCCAATCATCACATTTAAGTCAAACTGATAGGCTAACACTGCATCCAGGACCAATGAGAACTACTTTCTCTTTCCTGTTAGATAGGAAAGAATTTGTTGTCTGCTGGGGTTTCCAGTTACATGAATAGCAGTGTAAACAACTGCCAGTAATAATGCCAGTAGCCAGATGAAACAAAATAGGAGGTAGCCCTCTCCTGATAAACAAGTTCTGGAAAGAGGTTCCCCAGACTGGCTTGCTTCTAGATACACATCCTCATGAACTTCTATGAAGGATAACATCTGGTCATTTCCAAACATGTTTTTAGATACAACTATAATTGACTACATGGATAAATACTATGCCAGCTACTTAATTTTATCCCATTACACATGGTATACTGTGAATTGGGAGGAACTTAAGTCAAACTGGCCAAAATACACTCAGCCATGAAAAGAAATAAGTAGGCATATCATGAAGTTTCCAAACCTGTGCTCGGGTGGCTATTCTTTATGCAATATTAGTCAAAGAGTGAGAAAGTAGCAATTGGACTTTATATTTAGTATCAAAGAATTGCCAACTATTTGACAAGGAACTAGTAAGAGAACAGCAAAACTATGCAATCTAGTAAACCACACATCTCGTATAGGGATATGGGGCTCTTCTCAGTGCCTTAGTCTGAACTCTTAGGGAAGAAGATATTTTGACATTAGTAGTTAGGATACGCCTTAAAAGAAGGAAAAGGTTAAAGGGCTAGAAAAGCATGGTATGAAGGAAGAAACAGGGCCAGAACCAGAATTCAGCTGTTACTGCTAAAGCTCAAAGAATATGAATAACATTCTCAGGGAAAGATGTGCCCCTTGGCACCCAAATTTGTTGTATAAGATAAAAGGTAATTAAAGTTGCTCGGCCAGTGTGGCTCAGTGTGGTTGAGCATCAACCTATGAACCAGGAGGTTAAGGTTTGATTTCCGGTCAGGGCACATGCCCGAGTTGCGGGCTCAATCTCCAGTGAGGGGTGTGCAGGAGGCAGCCGATCTATGATTCTCTCTCATCATTGATGCTTCTATCTCTCTCTCCATCTCCCTTCCTCTCTGAAATCAATAATATATATATATGTATATATATATACACACACACACACACACACACACACACACATACATATATATATTTTTTAAAAAATAAAGTCACTTAGAATAAACCTCATCACAATATTCATCATTAAAGGAAAGCTATTCGGGATGAAATGGGAATAAGGAAACATTGGCGTTAGAGTGGGAGGAGAGGCCCCTCTGCTGCAGGGCTGTTCTAGGTAATTTTAATACATATAACAAAGTTTGAGAGAAAAAAGGAATAAGAAGTCACCATGTTGGCTTGAACTCTCTTGCCATGTCTTGACCCTCTCTCGAAGATGTACTCTCCTGCCTGGTTGGATCCCACAAAGCTGATTGCTTTGATATCCGGATGATCACAAATGAAGTTCACAGCTTTAAGAAGAAAATAAATGATCACCATAAAGGAACAAATGGCTATGGGTTTCTCAACATAACAAATTTCCCCTTTTCCCACTGCTATGAGGGAGAAATTTTCATACTTTTGTGTTTCAATGCTGGATTCCCATTTTGAAGTTCTCTCTTTCTTTGTCCTCTTAATTCTTTAAACTATAAAGTCTATTTAGCATCTTCCCTTTCATTATTTTTCTCATTTGCTATTCCAGAATTTCCACTTTTAACTCTGAAACTTACAACTTCTATTTTTCTTGAAAACAACAGCCCTTCAGAGCATTTGAGATCGTGCTTCCTGGCACTGTCCTCAGTTTGGGCTCAAACACACTCTTATAAAATTCTCCAAAATAACAGCTCTTCAATACTCAACACTTCTGTTATTTAAGAATATGATATTTCTTCAACTGTCACTACATACCAGAACTCTCAGATACTGCTGTGCCCTTATGTGAGAGACAATATAGCATAGTACATTCATGTGCTGCTTAACGACAGGGACAACGTTCTGAGAAATTCATCATTAGGCAATTTTGTCATTGCGCAAACATCATAGAGTGCACTTACACAAACCTAGATGGTATAACCTGTGGTTCATAGGCTACAAACCTGTACAGTATGCTTCTGTATAAAAAATATGAGATTAAATTAAACACAAGAGAAAATGATGCAATCAACAGGTGCAGTAAACGTGAGATGTATAAGGCTGCTGCCAGCATAATATGACATACTATTTTACAGCAAACTTCTTTTTTAAGTAGAAAGAGTACACTCTAAAATACCAAAGAGAATAGTATAGTAAGTACACAAATCAGTTATATAGTCATTTATTATCATTATTAAGTAGTATGTATTGTACATCATTGCATATGCTATACTTTTCTATACCAGCATCACCACAAACGTGTGAGTAATGCATTGCACTACAATGTTACCATGACTACAATGTCACTAGGTGATAAGAATTTTTCAACTCTATTATAATCTTTTTGGTCCACTGTTGTATATGCAGTCTGTTGTTGACCAAAACATCGTTATGTGCCACATGACTATATTTAAAAGTAAAAACCAGGTTCAGCCTTCCTGGATATATACATCTTGGCTCTGATAGGTTTTAGCAGTGTGACTTTGGGCAAATTACTTAATTTCATTATGCTTCAATTTTCTTATCTGTAAAATGGAAAAATAGCATCTATCTAAATGGGTTCTTATAAAGATTAAATGAAATAATATATGTAAGATACAGGAAACAGTGCCTGAAACACAGAAGCAATTTTTAAGTAGTAGCTATTATATGAATTAGAAGGCTTTTAGTCTCTCTGAGGTCCATAAAGTGAGTCTCTGAATTAAAAATCCTCATAAATTATCTCAATATTAAAGTGAAAACTTTTTCTTTAATCTTATCTGTGTCTTGCCCTAATCCATATTTCTTTGTCCCAATGTATTTCGTAGGGCAAGAAGCACTGCTACTCCCTAGTTAGTTACCTTAGCACACAGACAGCAAAACAGTTAACAAATATTACCTTCAAACATGGAGGTAACTTAGTAAATCCCTTCATCCCTACGTTCCTCATTCTAGAACACCCATCACCACTCAACACCTTGATATTTGGGAAGCCAGATTAAGTGCCATGTACTGAAAGGCAGTTACCGTCATGTTGTCCATGGATGATGTTCAGTGTTCCATCAGGGGCACCAGAGTCCTGAAGCAACTTAGCAAGAAGCATAGTTGCTCCAGGGACTCGCTCTGATGGTTTCATTAGGAAGGTATTTCCACACACCATGGCCATGGGAAACATCCAAAGGGGGATCATGGCAGGAAAATTGAATGGAGCAATGCCTGCACACACCCCCAGAGGCAGACGGTAGGAATAAAGGTCCATGTCTTTGGTGATGGATGGCATGGTCTCTCCCAGCAGGAGGGATGTCACACTGCAGGCATGCTCAACCACCTCTGCAACAGAGAAGAAGCAGTCAGGCCAGCAGCTGCCCACAGGGTACACTACCTGCCTTTGTCACGCTCCAATAAGCCCTGAGGGCAGGGAGTGGCTCAGGCCAAGGACAGAGGGAAGAAACACTGACTTGACCTTCCATGAGAGAAGGGCTTGTGCAAAATGAGATTCTCTAAATGGGAAAAAGACAGTGAAATGTACATACCTACTGGAAGATCAGTTGAGTAAGACAAAAAATGAAGTAAACCAATTTCATAGATTGCTGAGAAGTATTGCCATTCTCCACAAGTATTAAAAAAGATATCATGGGATCACGAAATCAACATAAAGGAAGAAGCAATCCCTCATTAAGGGATCTTTGCCTCCCATTTTCTTTTGCTCCTTTCCCAAATGTCCCTGAAGCTCCCCAGGAGGGACACCCAGCTTACGAAGGCCTCGAAACACATCTCCTTCAGCATCCGCTAGGGTCTTCCCTTGTTCCAGAGTGATTAACCTGGCAATTTCTTTCTAGAGAGAAAACACACAAATAGAAACCAATACAAGGGTGTGTCTCCTTTTAGTTCTCAGGCAGCAAAGGAAGGACGAAACTGGGGAGAAGTAATATGAAAGAGAACCATGATCTACGTCTCTCTGGACTGAACAGTGAGGGAGTGCAGCTAAAAGGGCCTCTGTGGGTGTGACAAGTCTCCTATAGACAACAGTTTGGAAAATGGTGTCATTCAGATTTCTTACCAAGTTTTCTTTAATAAGTTGTTGATAGCGAAGCAGAACCTGCTGACGGCTTAATACTGAAGTGTCTGCCCATGCGGGAAAAGAACGTTTGCAGGAGGCAACAGCTGCATCCATTTCAGCCTTGGTGGCCTGAGGGACCCGACCAATGACCTCATTGGTGGCCTGATGGGAAAAAGCAGCCCATCATCCTTTGCCCCTGCCTCGCCTTCTCCATTTTTCATGGCTACAAAGGCAACACTACGTGCTTCATGATAGACACCCAGGTCCCCACTTTCCCACCATGTTCCCAGAATTCTAGGCTAGTCAGTTTAAGCAGCTTTGCTTACTGGGTTGTGGATGTCGATCCATTTGTCACTTTTGGATTCAACAAATTTCCCATCAATGAAGAGCTTTACAGTTGGCTGGAAAAAACAACAATAACACACACACACACACACACACACACACAAAATACTGTATTAGTTAATTGTTTTACTTTTCTCTCTATCACAAAAAGGAAGGAATTTGGCTTGATAAGGAATCTACTGCTCTTTAGAAATGTTGCCACTCCCAAAGCGATACACAATAGACTTGTTTATAGTGTTTGTTAAGATGTGGCAGAGTCTCTGAAAACTGTGATCTCTCTGAAAATAGGAAATTTCCAGCTAATCACACAGTGGAACTTCATGAGTAAACACATGGCACTGTAAAGCTTACACTAAAAAAGCAGCAGATTGTGTTAACAAAGATTAGCTCTATTGTGACTTCTTGGTCCAGCTGATGTTCTGTTACATTAGCATGATAATGTCTTACCTTTATGATCAAAATATATGTATATTTTTAATCCTCACCCAAGGATATTTTTCCATTGATCTTTTAGAGAGAGCGGAAGAGGGGAAGACTGAGAGATACATTGGTGTAAGAAAAACACATCGATTGGCTGCCTCCTGCATGATCCCTGACCGGGGCTGGGAGGTGCCTCGACTGGGGAGGAGCCTGCAACCAAGGTAAGTAGCCTTGACTGGAATCGAACCCGGAACCTATTGGTCCACAGGCCAACCTCTATCCACTGAGCCAAACAGGCTAGGGCTATGATCAAAATATTTTAAAAATGTTTTTATCTGTGATTTTTTTTCTGAGAAGCTCACTTTTGTTAAATTTCCAAAAGGGTCTGTGGACCAAAAAAAGTGAAGGGCGACTGTGCTACAGTGTGTGCATGCTTTGTAGAAAGGATTTTTGAGCACCAGTCCTATTTATTAGATTTAGGTACTACATATGGCTGACAGACACAAGGTCTGTAAAAACAACTCTAAAGGTTATCAAGAAGTACAAATCACCTGGCGGGATCAACTAAACATCTAGAAGCCATGAAAATGTTTGTAACTTTTCACACAGTTATCTTATTTCAGAAGAGAAATAATCTAAAAGAAGTAAAAAAACAAACAAACTGTAAATAAATGTTTGTAAAACAATATTGAAAAACTGAAGCAATCTAAATGTTATATGGGGAAAATATGAGTTAATTCAGGTTATGTATACTTAATGGAATATAACGCAGCCATTAAAATCCTAACATAATAGACATATTAAATAAGAAAACCCAGAAGAAAGTTTCACATATACTCTGATCACAGTTACATAAAGAAGATAAATTTTGAGGAATATCCAAAAATTATACTGGATTCCTTCTCAGAAGTCAACTTTTCATGCCAAATAAACTCACCACTGAAGAAGAGAAGGAGGATGCTGAATACCAAGTGGAGTTCACCTTGGAAGAAACCTGTGAGGTAAAAGAATGATTATTTTTATAAATGAGAGCAGAAAATTATTCAAAATGTAGTGAATGGCTACTATATGCTTAATATTATACTAGTTATTGTGGATATATGAAAAAGGACTTGATGTTTGTTGTTCTCAAGGGTCATAGAATCTTTGAAAAGACATGAGACTGAGATACAGCAAATTGAGAAAACAAGAAACTATAATGATAGTATCCTGAATTTCTGGACAGTCCTGATTAAAAAAAATAATTTTTGCCCAGCCAGGCTGCTCAGTTGGTTGAGCATTGTCCCTGGGCACATACTTAGGTGGCGAGTTCAATCCCTGCTGGTGGTGCCTATGGCAGGCAACCAATTGATGTTTCTCTTGCACATCGATGTCTGTCTCTCTTTCTCTCTATTTCCCTTCCTCTCTCTAATATCAATTAAAAATACTTTTTCTTTCATTAGTCCATATTTTCCTAATTTTTGGCCTGGAAAATGTAGTCACCATAAATCTAACAATATGAAAACACTTAGCATGGTATCCAACACAATAGGTGTTGAATGTAAGACAGTATATAACCAAGTATCAAATATAAGTATAATATGCCCATACAAATACTTAAACACAAATGTTCAGAGCAGCTTTATTTATAACAGCCCAAAACTTAGAAATATACCAAACGTCTACCATTAGATAGGTGACTAGAGGAACTAATATCCATACATTGGACTACTACCCAGCAATAAAAATGAATGAAACCACCTGAATAATTATAGTAATATTGAGTAAAAGAAGTCATACATAAAAAGAGTACATACTGGATAACTCATTTATATAAAACTAGAAAATTCAAACTAATCTGTAGTGTCAGAAAGCACATCAGTGGTTACCTAAAGATGATGTGGGAGGTGGAGAGCAGAGGGTAGAGGGTAACTTTTGGGGATATGGATATAATCATTATCTTGATTGTGATGATGTTTTCATAGGTGTATACAAATATTAAAACTTATCAAATTGTACATTTTAAATATATACAGTTTCTGTCAACTTCATTTCAATAAAGCTATTTTTTAAAAATGCCACATGTACCTTAGAGATTATGATTAGAATACTGGAGGGGGGTCAGTTACAATAACTCTCCAAATCAAGCATGTCAAACTTGCGGCCTGTGGGCCACATGCAGCCCACAACGAATATTTTTGCAGCCCAGCCAATATAATGGTATGTAAGAAACATTTTAATAAAATTTCATAACTTAATTTTTATAATATCCTGTTATACATAACTAGAGGCCCGGTGCACGGATTCGTGCACATTGAAAGTAAATTAATTAGAAGGTGGCCGGCTAGGCGAGATGGGCTGGACATGCTCTGGAGCCAACCTCCCATTCCCTCCTCAGCCAGCTGCACCTGGGGCAGTGCTGGGGCTCGAAGGGCGTCTGTGGAGTGAGTGGGATCCCTCTGGCAGGGGGGTTCCTCCAGAAGGTGGGGTCCCTTGGCCTGGCCTGCGGGGATTGGGCCAAAACCAGCAGTCTGACATCCCCTGAGGAGTCCTGGAGAGAAGCCACTCTGCAAAGTTGCTGTTGCTCGGCAGCTCCTGCATTAAGTGTCTGCCCCCTGGTGGTCAGTCCATGTCATAGGTACTGGCCTGTCAGCTGGTCACTTAGCCTTTTATATATATAGATTATTAATAATGAACTATAACATTCCCTGACTGATTACTATAATTGTGTTGCGTTCATTTCCCTTGTGCACCTTACACGTAGGCGCACCATTTCTCTCCACTAATACTAGCAGCGAATATTTTAGTAGCCTATTGCCATGTCATTAGTCTTGGACTGACTTATTTGGTGTATGCATCAGGAAATATTTTGGCCTTTGGAGAACAAGAAAAATACGTTTATTTGTGTTATGCTTATTAATTTGTGCAGTTATTCAGTGTCTGGTAGGTTAATGTTCAAGAAAAAATATTAATTTTTATTAAAATGTTCTATTATTTTATGTTAACAATTAATCATTTATATCAGCCCTTTGTATTGAGCATGTCTCTATCGAAATAAACCTACATTTCTATAAAAATTGAAGCTTTTGTTTTTTGGCGGCCCACATAAACTTAAACCTTGTTTATTTGGTCCGTGTTAGCCTTTGAGTTTGACATGCTTACTCTAAATAAATAGTTTGTATATGTTATGGAAGTTGATTTAATAAATATTAAAGTCTAATCAAAGTGAGCAATATGAAATACCTTGGACTGGAATATATTAACCTATTATCTTGTCTGAATAGAGAACACATTAACGAAAGGTTTAGCGCTGCATGAAGTGCAAGAATTTGTGCATCTGTAGCACTGTCCAGGAGAAAGGGTACTTTGGACCAGCAACATTTTAATAAAATTTCATAACTTAATTTTTATAATATCCTGTTATACATAACTAGAGGCCCGGTGCACGGATTCGTGCACATTGAAAGTAAATTAATTAGAAGGTGGCCGGCTAGGCGAGATGGGCTGGACATGCTCTGGAGCCAACCTCCCATTCCCTCCTCAGCCAGCTGCACCTGGGGCAGTGCTGGGGCTCGAAGGGCGTCTGTGGAGTGAGTGGGATCCCTCTGGCAGGGGGGTTCCTCCAGAAGGTGGGGTCCCTTGGCCTGGCCTGCGGGGATTGGGCCAAAACCAGCAGTCTGACATCCCCTGAGGAGTCCTGGAGAGAAGCCACTCTGCAAAGTTGCTGTTGCTCGGCAGCTCCTGCATTAAGTGTCTGCCCCCTGGTGGTCAGTCCATGTCATAGGTACTGGCCTGTCAGCTGGTCACTTAGCCTTTTATATATATAGATTATTAATAATGAACTATAACATTCCCTGACTGATTACTATAATTGTGTTGCGTTCATTTCCCTTGTGCACCTTACACGTAGGCGCACCATTTCTCTCCACTAATACTAGCAGCGAATATTTTAGTAGCCTATTGCCATGTCATTAGTCTTGGACTGACTTATTTGGTGTATGCATCAGGAAATATTTTGGCCTTTGGAGAACAAGAAAAATACGTTTATTTGTGTTATGCTTATTAATTTGTGCAGTTATTCAGTGTCTGGTAGGTTAATGTTCAAGAAAAAATATTAATTTTTATTAAAATGTTCTATTATTTTATGTTAACAATTAATCATTTATATCAGCCCTTTGTATTGAGCATGTCTCTATCGAAATAAACCTACATTTCTATAAAAATTGAAGCTTTTGTTTTTTGGCGGCCCACATAAACTTAAACCTTGTTTATTTGGTCCGTGTTAGCCTTTGAGTTTGACATGCTTACTCTAAATAAATAGTTTGTATATGTTATGGAAGTTGATTTAATAAATATTAAAGTCTAATCAAAGTGAGCAATATGAAATACCTTGGACTGGAATATATTAACCTATTATCTTGTCTGAATAGAGAACACATTAACGAAAGGTTTAGCGCTGCATGAAGTGCAAGAATTTGTGCATCTGTAGCACTGTCCAGGAGAAAGGGTACTTTGGACCAGCAGACAAACCTTCTAAATGCCTATTCTGCTTCTTCCTCCATTCCTCACAAAAGCTAGCTCAAACCACCAATACTGTCCTGGAGCCCACCATGTCTTATTTATAGCCATGTCCCCAATACCAATGTGGTACATAGTAGGTGTTCAATAAATATCTATTGAACAAAAGAAAGGTGCATTGGGCTGGACTCCCTCCACCTCAGATTAGTTTAGGTGTTCCTCTTTTTGTACTCCCATAGCAGACAATACTTCCCCTATCAGGTTTATTTGTCTCTGTTGTAATTGCCTAAGTACTTGTTACCCAAAAGATTGTAAGTTCCATTAGGATAGGCTTGTTCACCTGCTTTAAAAATATTTGTATTGCCCTAATCGGCTTGGCTCAGTGGATAGAGCGTCAATCCTCGTAATGAAGACTCCTGGGTTCGATTCTGGTCAAGGCACGTACTGGTTGCTTTACAGAGTTATTGTGATCAAAACTGTACAGATATGAAAAATGGTTGGTGTTTAATAAATGTCATTATTATTTTATTATTATAAATACTTACTTGTTCTCACTCCTTGCTATTTAAAAACTTATCAATTCTCTTAAAACTTCCAACTCTGCTACTTCCTCTCTTACTGTCAGGAGCTGACTTTGCTTTCCTAAAGTTCAGAGGAAACAGAAACCATGAGATGAGAATTTCCTACTAGCAAATCTATAAAATTGACCTGCAATTATACCCATCTTTTTTTCCTTCCTCCCTCTTATAATGGAGAAAGTAGCTAGCAAGCTCTGTGAGAACAAAGTGACTGGGAGACAGAGGTGCACAATCAATATCTGTGGGCTGACTGAAATGGTGTCTGTCCTCCAGTCTAAGGCTAATCCATGCACCAACCTTTCCTGCTGCCTCTTGTTTTTTGGGCCCACATAAACTTAAACCTTGTTTATTTGGTCCGTGTTAGCCTTTGAGTTTGACATGCTTACTCTAAATAAATAGTTTGTATATGTTATGGAAGTTGATTTAATAAATATTAAAGTCTAATCAAAGTGAGCAATATGAAATACCTTGGACTGGAATATATTAACCTATTATCTTGTCTGAATAGAGAACACATTAACGAAAGGTTTAGCGCTGCATGAAGTGCAAGAATTTGTGCATCTGTAGCACTGTCCAGGAGAAAGGGTACTTTGGACCAGCAGACAAACCTTCTAAATGCCTATTCTGCTTCTTCCTCCATTCCTCACAAAAGCTAGCTCAAACCACCAATACTGTCCTGGAGCCCACCATGTCTTATTTATAGCCATGTCCCCAATACCAATGTGGTACATAGTAGGTGTTCAATAAATATCTATTGAACAAAAGAAAGGTGCATTGGGCTGGACTCCCTCCACCTCAGATTAGTTTAGGTGTTCCTCTTTTTGTACTCCCATAGCAGACAATACTTCCCCTATCAGGTTTATTTGTCTCTGTTGTAATTGCCTAAGTACTTGTTACCCAAAAGATTGTAAGTTCCATT